ACATGAAACATTACATTTATATTTTATTCTGTGATAATTCTGGGGTGGCAGGTGGTTTGGCACAGCTTTTTCTTAGGGTGGCAGACAGTTGCCACCCCGTGCCACCCCGGTAGATCCGCCCCTGAATGTAAACGCAATCCATCCATCGTGTCTGCATTCGCAGGTCGACATCACGCAAAACCCCGCCCCCTCTCGCGAACGGTCACAAGAAAGACGGAGAACAACAGGTCAGGCTCTGGAGCGCTAGTGAGACTCGTAGACTTTATTTGATTTGTAAAATGTCTCGCGACTGAAAATACTTTTCAAAAGAAAACCTATGGAGTCAAAATAATGCCACATATATGCAAAATAATAAAGTTTCAAATGTTGTGTCTGTAAACTGTCATAGTCGTACATTTTGGAGTTGTACTCTAACAAACACACAAAATCTCGTATCTGTAAACTGTCGTGGCCGTAGATTTTGGAATCCAACTCTGACAAAAAACAGAATTACATACAATACTTTTAAATTACGCACGAGTAAATTAAAATGACACACAAATGCTTTGAATTACGTACGATTATTTTTGACAGCGATTTTATTCCATAGGAATCAAGCCCTCAATTTTTTTGTGTGTGTTTACATTTCAAATGCCATAAAAGTCACCAAGTTGCATACCATTCCGTTGAAGCTGTGATTTAAAAAAATTCAAAACAGAAAATGTTTCAGTCAAAAGTGACCGAAGAGCACCAGAGGGTTTTAAACAAAACAACAAACAAACAAAAATCTCCTCAAAATGTATTTTGTGTTACACAAAAAAAGAAATAAAATTATACATGTTTGATGAGGGATGAGTAAACAATGACAGAATTTTGAATTAAGACATTTTTGGGTGAACTATTACAAAGCTGTAAAATGCTAACAATCAAAATAACTCTTATTAGTTCAATTTTAATTTTCTCAGAGCTGAGTTAAGATCCCAGATACTGTTTTCACAGTGTCTGTTTCCTCCTGTGTGTTTGTCCTTGCACAGCAGGAAAAGGCCTTCAAAATGTTACCCATTCCATTTGTAAAAAAGATTGAGAGGAATGGGTCCACCAGTGGGCCAAGATAGAGAAGAAGATCAGATACAAGTCAAGTAAAATACATAAGAGCTTAAAGCCAGTGCTTTGAGCAGAGTATTTAGGATAAAGGGAAGATAACGCATACTGTAATTACACAAGATGACCGCCTGCATACCCAGAATCTTGTTTCTGTTAGTCACAGGTGCTTGGCCATCTTGTACACCATAAGGCTCTAAAATAATCCAAAAAGAAAAACCCCAGGAATGGTAGTTGGTGAAGAAGAGCTATAGAGAATAACATGACATATCCTTGGTAAGGAAAAGTATTGCAAATGGAGCTGCCCACACGGCCAATGAAATCATGCTCAACTGCTTGAGTTTCATGCAGAAGGCATTATATTGTGGACAGGTTACCAACAGATATCGCTCCTGAGCAACACAGACCATGAACACGATGTTGGATATGATCCCAAAGTAGAATATCAGGGAAGATATGTCTGTACTCGGCATACTGGTTTTCTGAGTGTCCTCCGCAGATGCCTTCGGCCGCCCAAGGATGTTGAAGATATCGGATGCGAGAAGGCTTATTAGGTAGACGGGAGCAGCCTTGCCAGTTTTTGCTTGCATGCCCATGAGGTAGATAGAAAAGCCGATGCCAGGAAGCCCAACAGCAAATGTGATCCATCTGATGATCTCTTCAATGTGGTCTACACTGATGGTGCCATTGTTCTGAGGAGCCGTGTTATTACATCCAATACTGTGGTTTTATCCATATGTTGCAGAATCATACTGGTAGTTTTCTAGTTCTGGTTACCCAAAATGTGATTAATATATAAAAGCTGATGCATTTGGTTATATGCCATGTCAAGAAGAATATGTTCTTCAGTTCAAGTAAGCAACGCGGAAAGCTATGTGGCTCTTTACTGTGGTAAACAGATCGGTATATTTTAGCTATAACCATTTTTATGGCTCTTCTGCAAACTGTTTCTGTAAGCGCTTTCATTGCTGGTTAGTCAATGCAAATATTTCCTATCTATTCACATTAGTTTTATCAATGCAATCTCTTTCTAGGAGCAGTTTGGCCCAATGAGGAATGTAAAGTTACACATGAAAAATAAATATATGAAAATATTTTAAATAAAATGTTGAAATTCAAACAATGCGAGATTTTCGGACATAATTTATTTCATTGACTCACATTATATAAGATGCCAACACATTCAACAATACTGTAAGCAACAGTATGCATTTTATACAGTTTAATAACAGGTTAATAACTTAGACAATAGTAACAAAGCAAACCATTGCTAACTTAAGACCACTTGAATACTGCCGATCTCTTGAAGCAAATATTCAACAGTTAATAAATATTGTTAAATGATGTCTTTATTTTTGCCCACAGCAGCATTCACCTGATGTCATCCCGTCCTTGCTTGGCACTAAATCTGATCATTCATTCAAATTTGTATTGTATTTTCTTTACAAAAGCACATTGGCATGGCACATTCAAGCATCACAGTCAAGCACACAGAGCTTTTAAATCTTTGACTTATTATATATTTGAAAAGTGAATGAGAGCATATTATCTTTCCTGTCTGATACTTGAGTAACTGTTATGAGTATATGAAGAGGGCTGTGCCAAGGAATCACTGATAAAGTAGCATCTGATCTGTTTTAAAGAGAAAAACGAAGCGGTCCTACATTGAATCATTTAACGTGTGCTTGCTTACAGTACACAAATAGAGCCCCAAAATTGGGTTTTTGTTTACCTTTGGCCTCCTGATTCAGAATGTTCTGTAAACATTGCATGTATAAAATGACAAATCATAGGTTTGAAACACTTGAAAATTGAGGTGCATTCACATTAGCAACATTTCAGCGAAATTTTTTGAGCCACAGCACACACAGAAGTCACTTTCAAACCAAGCAGCTTCATTTTGTTTAATGCAGCCAATCCACATGGCCGTCATATTTTGCATGGCCATCAACTGTAATTTTACGAAGCTACGAGAATACTTTTTGTGTGCAAAGAAAACAAAAATAACGATTTTATTCAACAATTTCTTCTCTTCCATGTCAGTCTCCACTTTGCATTCACGAGAGTATCACGACGCATGTTCCGAAGATGAACAGAGGTCTTGCGGGTTTGGAATGACATGAGGATGAGTAATTAATGACAGAATTGTAATTTTTGGGTCAACTATCACGTTAAGTCAAATCACTTAGGAAGCACCACTAATAAAAACACATAGACAATTTGAACTGTAATCCTTTTAGCTAAATAATTGTAAACATGGATCGATGGGAATCCAAATCAGGAAGAGAAAGAAAGGGATTAAATGGATACAGATATAAAGCAGCAGGGATCATGGTGAATCATCCTTTCATGCCATGTTAATAAAGTCTAATTGTTAAAACGTCTCCAGCATGTCTCAAGTTTGAAATCTGTAGCTTTTATATATCATTTTACAGATTTGGTGTGGTAGATATAATCAAAGCTTGATCTTGACTTGATCTATTGCGTTTTTTGTTATTGGTTTGTGGCTCTAGATACATTCTCCATTATATCTGTTGTTTCAGTTTCTGTTTTGAAGACTGAATGTGAGTAAGTTTGTTTTTTGGGGTTATTTTAAGTCTGGAGAAGGCGATGAACTCTCTGTAACTGGATCTTTGAAAGCACCAGACGATGCACCTGTTCCTGCCCTCGGGCGCAAGGCATCATCACATGACCGACTAACACAGCATCTCCTTTCTTCTCCTCTTTTGCCTGAGAGCAGAAGAAGAAAGAATGAGGGATTTATTTAGACCCAAACAATGTGGGAAAATGTGCATTTTGTGTATTTGTCTTACCTTCACAAAGGAAGTGCAGGGAAAAGTGGCAAAATCAGACGAGACTTGAGCACCAGGCCTGTGAGTCACTACATGTTCAGCAACCTCATCCTTCAAAGAAATAGGTTGCTTAAATAAGCGCAGGAGACATTTTAATGATGACTTGATGATTTGGAATCATTTTTGGTTTACCTTAAGCCTATCGAGTGTGTCACTGAGCGACTGCAGTCTTGCTGTTTGCTCGAGGAGCTGCGCACTAGGACTCACTGTTAATGAAAACACAAACACTGTAAAATAATTACTGTATAACAATAAAAATCAAAATTTTAAGTGTAATTATGACAGACCTGGAGATTTCCCTGTGATGTCCACCACTTTCACATTGGCACTCATCTGGAGGAGAGTATCCAGTAGTTGGTCTGTTTTGCGGTAGAGGGCGCTAGATAACACCTCAGGCCTGCAGCCCTCTCGCCAGCCCAGCTTTGGCACGTTCAGAGGAGGAAGAGATGCCAGCTGAGCACGCATCTTTTCTGCCTGCGGTCCACACAAAAACAAAAGTGAGAATAAATCTTCAGTGCCTGCATTGGGGAAATTGGCTTGTGAAGCAGTAGCAGAGACCTTTAGTCTGTTGTTCTCGTTCTTCAGGTGTTTTATACTGAGTCGCTGAGCTTCAATCTGCTGAGTCAGCAGTGGAGAATCTATCACTTGCACTCCTGCAGCTACACAAACACCTTTAACATACACACAACAAATGACATGTTAACAAATACAGAGACAACTCGTGTGTTCTTCTAAAATATTTTTAAAAATACTGTATACACCACAGTTCAAAAGTTTGGGGTCAGTAATTTTTTTCTAGAGAAATTAATACTTTTATTTAGCAGTAAAGCCATTTATAAAAAACCTGAAAAAAGTATCACAGTTTGCACAAAAATATTAAGCAGCACAACTGTTTTCAACATTAATGATGAAAAGAAATGTTTCCTGTGCAGCAAATCAGAATATTAGAATGATTTCTGAAGGATCATGTGACACTGAAGACTGGAGTAATGGCTGCTGAAAATTCAGCTTACCTTAAGCCTATTGAGTGTGTCACTGAGCGACTGCAGTCTTGCTGTTTGCTCGAGGAGCTGCGCACTAGGACTCACTGTTAATGAAAACACAAACACTGTAAAATAATTACTGTATAACAATAAAAATCAAAATTTTAAGTGTAATTATGACAGACCTGGAGATTTCCCTGTGATGTCCACCACTTTCACATTGGCACTCATCTGGAGGAGAGTATCCAGTAGTTGGTCTGTTTTGCGGTAGAGGGCGCTAGATAACACCTCAGGCCTGCAGCCCTCTCGCCAGCCCAGCTTTGGCACGTTATAATATTTCACAATATTACTGTTTTACATTATTTTTTATCACATAAATGGAGCCTTGGTGAACTTCTTTGAAAAACAAAAAAAAATTACCAACCCCAAACACTTGCCATGTTAGTGTTTATTAAAATATTATATTATTTCAAAGGGAGCATTTTCGAGGTGGATAATATTAAATCCATTCAGGATTTTTTAAATACGTCACTAAATAGAGATAATAAAACAGATGCAATAATTGAGATTTCAAATATTACATTGATTAACAAAGTATATATGTAAGTGATAATACACATAAAAATAAAAATAAAACCCAATGAAGTAATTATTATTTGTTTGTTTTTTTGCTTAAATGTCTAGTTGTCTGTACATTATCATACTTATTAGATGGCTACATATTATATTAGATGAGAAGAAAGAGTCCAGAGAGAGTTTTATGGCAGACATGAAATAACATGTAAACTGTGAGGAAGGAAGCTACACTGTTGAATACTACTTAAATATATTAAAGAGAGGACCAATCATAATCAAGTATTCTGTGCAATAAATGACACTATGTTATGGTCATTTATTGCATGGCTCTTGATTGCAGCACATGCAACTCGTGATAGGGCAATATAAGCAAGAATAACTCTCATGCACACATGCAGCTCACAGAGAGACCATGAGTGGGAGGAAAAGAGAGTGAAGAGATTTAAATGTCACACTGACAACAAATTTACCTTTTTGTTCTTCTAAAAGGAATACAAACAATGGAAGACATATTAGACCATTTAAAATAAAGACTTAAGAAAGACATTTTAGCTTAGTGTTTAGGTTAAACTGATTCCCTTATCCGTCTCTTACCAGCAGTGATGCCACAAGTCACAATGGAGGCGATGCCAGAGCCTTGACTTCCTCTCAGGCCCTCCATGGTCATCTTTGATTGGCTGGTGATTCTCTGCTTAAGCTCTACTTTCTCTGCCTCTAGTTGGTCTATGTCAGCCTGGAGAGCATCCATGGTCTCCTCAAACTCCCTACAGATTATCATACCCATATTAAAAGCATTTCTTACTATATAATGTCCCCAATACTATCCTGGGACATTTAGACCCACATTAGGAGTTATGTGCAACAACCCTCTTTGTCATCTCTTACTTTTCCTTCTTTTTCAGGAGCGAAACGGTCTCATCCAGGACCGTCTGGATCTTCTCCACCCGCTCATCCGCATCTTTAGACGCACTGTCCAGCTTTTTCTCCAATAAACTCAGACGCACATTGGCCTCACTCAGTTCCTCTCCCTAGAAACAAGACCATTTTGACATTATTTCAAGCTTTTATCTTACACCTCTTGGCATGTCTGAGTATGACTTCTTCTACCTTTATTTTAAGGGATTTCTTAAGCTCTTTGATGACAGTTTCTCGGTCTTCAAGTTTGAGGCCGAGTCCTTCAGCATCAGTGATTTCTGCCCTCAGTGCTGCTGCTCGGACTTCCACAGGAGATATCTACAACAATACATGCATATTGAGACACAAGCGCAAAGATTCATAGCCGTAGTGTTAGACAGGCAGGCTGAGCCCAGACTTACTCCATTCTGTGGTCTTTCAGAGTCATATTCTCCCTCCTGCATAGCAGTAGCCATCTTGTTCATTGTTGCAATGACCACACTGCATGACTGGCGCAGACACTCTTGAGGGTTTATGCCCTGTGACCCGCAGTCTTGGTGAACATAAAAGACATAAAAGTTTTGTATGTTATTTTTATTTCTTTTTTACTTGTTTTCACAAGATTCACCAAAATACTGTATACCTGTTCAGCTGCTTTAAAGGCCATGTCTTCCAGTTTGACGGCTGGCAGTCCCTCATGTTCGCTGAGAGGGGCGATGAGCTGAGCGGTTGCCGCTGCCACTTCCTGCAGCACTGCATTCACCCAGGCCAGCTGCCTTCTGCTCTCAGCCAGGGTCTCACACACCTACACACACATAAACCCCATCAACGGAAGGCTTAGATATCAAAGGTACATAAACAATTGAATGCAGAGATAATATGAACATGAGGGCTGCACATCACCTGTGGTCCAAAGCTGAGGGCAGCTGGGATGCCTGGTGCGTCTGTGCCTGGCATGCGACGACGGATCTTCTTGCAGAACTGTCGTATGTCACTACATGAAGTGTCCAGATCCTTCAGCAGCACACAAAACGCTTCCTCGTCCTGCCCTGTCTGTATGAAGGCCCTCAGACGCCCCACCTCTACTGCCATACAGTCCAGAGCACTCTGGGTAAACTAAACAGACACGTGAAGATGTGTTAAAGGTGTGTGTACCGATCTGGGTCTCTCTCTTTGTGTTTGTCTAAGTGAGTTGTTTACTTTGATGTGGTCTGCTAGCTGCATGGTACAGTCCTCCGGCTGTTCAGCGAGATGAATACTGTAAAGGTGCTACAACAAAGAGAAATGCATGTCAATAAATAGATCTGTTTGCATATTCTGAGGAAACAACCAGTGCTTGAAAGACAAATAGTAGTTCACTAGGTAAGTTTAGGTTTCAAGCTTTGGCATCAGAGACACTTTGCTGCAGTCATGATACTGAGTGATCATCTTTTTGCTGTCAGATGGGTATGAGAATGTCAGCTTATTAACTTTGACCAATCACAATGTCATATGTGAATAATACAGCAATAGCAATGACAGCGTCAGTAGTTTTTATCAAGGAGATAAGTTTGATATATCTACAGCAACATCTCATACTTTTGATTCAGCAAGGATGGACACATTAAATTGATCAAAAGTGGCATTAACAACATTTATAAAATTACCCAAAAAAAATCTATTTCAAATAAATGCTGTTTATTTTGACACTGATGATAATAAGAAATGTGTAGCAAACTAGCATATTAGAATGGTTTCTGAAGGATCATGTGACACTGAAGGCTGAAAATTCAGCTTGACAGGAATAAAACACATTTTAATGTTCAATTGTAATTAAATTGTCATAACATTTCACGACACTACCGTTTTTACTGTATTCTTGATCAAATAAATGCTGTCTTGGTGAGCATAAGAGTGAAATATTGGAATTAACTGGAGAAAATTGTGGAGAAAAATAATGAAAATATATTAACGTATGAGGAATATTATTACAGTTCTGCAATGCAAGTGCTACAAAATGACATATTGCGTGCACTATGATACCTGATAGTATTTAATAGCTTTGGTAAGAGGTCCCACATTGACTGTTTCATCCAGCAGGTCTTTGTATAGGAGGTCAATGAGGAAATCCAGGGATCGCTCATGAACGCTCATCTCAGAGTACAGAGAACCCACACGCTTGTACACATCCACACTGCACTGACTCAGAGCACTGCACAAGACAGATAAAGAGAGGCACAAGCCTTTTGAGCTGCTCTACCCCAACCTCCTGCCATTCAAAATAATGCCATTCATTAATATATTTCATGAGGTCTTTAATGCTCTTGAGGATGTCAGAAAGTGTGTGTAAAAGTTTAGGCAAACTGACTGTTCATATTTGTGCAGGGTTGCCTGTAGCAGTGTGAGAGAATAGATGAGTCCAGCAGCAAAGCTCATCTGCTCTCCGACGGCTCCTCTCATTCCAGCCTTCTGAGAGCACGTCTCAGTCAACTCAAACTTCTCCTGAGCCTGCTTACTGATCAGCTCTGCCTGCAGCATACATGCACAAACACATTCAACCACATAGCAGATTGGAATGACCATGGTTTAGTAGTTAGCAACATGTATATTCAGAAAGTTCACCTTGCAGATGAGTCGTGGGATGAGCAGTAGAGCCAGGATACAGTCATGATCTCCTCCGTGTTTCAGGAAGGAGTCAGGCATGAAAGAAATCAGCAGTGACACCTGTCTGTTAGCCTGAGCTACCTCCATTTTACGCAGCTCCATTTCTATGGCCTAGAATTACAAACAGACATACATTATGATGAGAGACACAAACATCTGGAGTGTTTCCTACAGGATATTTTTTTACCAGCAGGGGGCATCCATCCTCCAACAACACAAAAAATAACCAGTACTTACTAAACACAAGTATAGTGTACAAAAATGTTTGGGGTAGGTAAGAATTTTTATGCTTTTGAAAGAAGGTTTAATGCTTTTGGTCAAAAACACAGTAAAACAGTAAAAAAAATTTGATACGATTTCAATAATTTTCTATTGTAATATACTTTACAATGTAATTTTTTCCTGCGATGGCAAAGCTGAATTTTCAGCAGCCATTACTCCAGTCTTCAGACATTATTCAAAATCTAGAATAATTATTCTAATGAAAATAAAGTAAAAACATCTATTTAGTAAAACAAGTCCAAATGTTTACAAATTTTTATTTGAATTAGAAATCTTTTGGAACATTATGTTTTCAAAAAACAAAATGGTTTTACTGTCACTTTAACACATCTGTGATATTATTAGTATTAATAAACTATTTAAAAATCTTGCAAACCCCAAACTTTTGAACAGTAATATACACTAGTCAATATTTGAAGTGGATCAAAACCTTTCATCAAAGTTGTCCTAAAACCAAAATGCATTCTTGTCTTAGGACAACTTTGATGAACTTTTTTGATCCATTTCAAACGTTGACTAATGTATTTTATTGCTACTCAGCTAAACAATGTCATATGAATAACAAGTCAGCTGTTAACCTCTGGCTCATTTTGAGTTCGACATAATATCTTGCAGTTCAGTGAAGAAATGAATCATCTGACAATTCAGTTCATAATTCAAAAAAACAATGACTCTTGTGTTCAGTTCAGACTGATTCACCAATCAGTTCAACTGATTAATTAAAAAACGATCATGAATTAGTACGTGAATTTCATCTGTTCAAACAAACTCTTTATTAAAAATCACTGGACTACATAAAAATAAGCATTTTTTTAATAAAGAGGTTTTTTGAACATTTTAGTACCTGGATGTTTTAGTAAGTCATGAATTTACATAGATGTGAATTGGATCCTGAATAGCAGTGCAGGAAATGCTGTATTCGTGTTCAGTGGATTCACCTTGGCGTAAGCTTTGGCTTCTGCAAATTTGATCTTGAAATCAAAGATCTCTGCAGGTTGTTGCTGCTGCTCGGTGCTGGCTTCCTGTAGGCTCATCAGCTCCCTGTTCACCTCCTGCTCCACACACACACAACCTATGTGATGTACGTGTCCCATTTGATTTGTGAGGTCTGCATTTTAAGCCGTATCACTGTGTTGTGGTTTGTATGTTGTGAAGCACAGCGGCACCTGCAGGTGTGCAGTGAGCTCTCTGTATTTCTGGATGGTCTGCTGGTAGTCTGCCACCGTTTCTTGTGCCGCCTCCACCCGCTTCTCCGCCTCCCTGATGCTGGCAGCACTCAGATCCAACTGCTCTCTCAACTCCAGCTCCGTCTCTCTGGCGTTCTCCTGCAGCTCATCATTCATCTCATTGATGGCTTCCTACATCAGCACATGTACACAAACCTCAGTATACTGTTACATCATGGCATACACTTCATGACTACTCAAACTCTTCAAACACTCACCAGATCTGTGACAGTTTCTCTGAGCTCCCGTACTTTCTCCTCCAGGTCCAGATTACGCTCCGTCAACATCTCCACCATCTCCTCCGCCCCGAGAGCAGCATCCACCTAACACACGAGCACACACATATTAGAGTGATTATTACCATATCTATGACTAGGGGTTCACTGATCTTGACTAAATCACTTTTGCAACTTTAATAAGAAGAAATATATATTTAATTTACACAGTGAAGAATATGCAGTGTTTTTATACATGTGATTATGCAATTCTTATTTATTTTTTGTGATAATGACACTGGAGACAATAATTATGACATTTCAATGGTATCAAAAATGTTGATATCATAAAGACCATATTTAAAGCAAAAGTAACAATATTGTGATATATATTGTTACCGTGAAATAAAATTACTCATATCATGCGAAAATTGATCTTACTGCACTGACAAATGGCACCAAAAAGTTCCATGGCATTATTCTGTTTCATTAGACATGAAACAATGACAATAATTGTATATTTACATTTTTTTATATAATATATAGCCTTGTGGGCAGCGTGTCTATATATAGTGCCGTTGCGCTACGGGTGTCCCGAGTTCGAATCCCAGCTTGAGGACCTTTCCTGATCCCGCCCCCCCTCTCTCTCCCACTTCACTTACTGTCACTTCTACACTGTCCTATACTAATAAAATGTAAAATATTTATTTTAAATATTTTTTCCTATGAAATTGCAATGGAAAAAAACATAGCATTTATTGAAATAGCTTGAAGTAGCATAGTATTCTTTGAAGTACCGTACGTACCTTATGATATTGTCATGCTTTTTTGGACATGGTACCATGGTACATAAATATGATATTCATTCAATACCATGGTTCAATGATATACCTTTGAAGGTACTTAAAGGGGTCATATGATGCGATTTCAATTTTTCCTTTCTCTTTGGAGTGTTACAAGCTCTTGGTGCATAAAGAAGATCTGTAAAGTTGCAAAGACTAAAGTCTCAAATCCAAAGAGATATTCTTTATAAAAGTTAAGACTCTGCCACGCCTACCTAAAACGGCTCGGTCTAACACGCCCCCACATATCTACATCACAATGTGGGAAGATTTGCATAACACCGCCCAAATGTGCACGCAAAGAAAGAACGCGTGGCTTCAGGAACAGCAGTAGTGTTGATGCAGAAGTGCAAAAGCACTTTATTTGGCCTTCCGGAAGTAGATGCA